AATGTCAATAAAAATGTCTCCCAAACCTGATAAACACCTTTAATATCAGAGCTAATAACTTGTTGGGGCTTAGGATCACGGAAAGCTTTGAGAAGGAAGAATGTTTAAGTGCCCATGCCCAAGCTGTGCAAACACAAGCTATGCTGGGTGAGCTGAGGGGCACAGGGGAGGGCCTGGCTGCACCCTTGGCTGCTGCCAGCATGCCAGCTCTGCGTTGTTGACCAGCTGGGGTAGGAGATTCCAGCCCACTGGCCCCAATGACTCGTTCTTGTGGAACAAAGCCCATCTCCTCTAACACAGCTTTTTCCCAGGGACTGGCCCACATCAAATAAAATAAATAAATCACAAGTGTTTTGTGAAGGGGAAAAAAGAAAGTTCCTGCTGTACATAGCTCGGGGGAGCAGATGTTTTTCCATTAGCTCACTGTTCTGTGCTGCACTGCCTCTCTTCGCATTTCTTGTTTGTGGCATGTTCGTTATAATCTTTTTTTTCCTAGGGTAAACTTTAGCATGTTACTGAGACAGCAGGTAGCCCATTCCAGGCCCCCATTATTTTTCTCTAAATGCTCCTTTAAATTAGCCTTAGGGTCTACCTGGTGAGGTTCACAGGCTGAGCTTAGCAGGCATTTAGCCAAACTTAGATCAAATTACCAGACCTACTTTGCTGTGAGTGGCCATATTTGGTAAAGTATTGGGTTAGTCAAGAAGCTAAATTGTCAGATATAAAGTACTAGTAAAGACAAACAAAGTGGACATCGTAGTTAAAAGTAAAGCTTAAAATAATATAGTAACGGATACTGGAATATCAGAACTCTTATTAAAACTGGCTTGCAGCATTCTAAAATGCTCTGTGTAAATAGAGCATATGGTTATTACTGCCTGGAAATATAACCACATGTACTTCAGATAAGGAATCACTCCAGTTATCCAAAGAGCTTTGAACTATTAACACTATTTCTTTTCAATACTGACATGCTTTGCTCTCTGGGTCAAAAGTGATCTTATAAAAACGTCGAATGAAGGTAAATGTTGGTCATAAATTTGAACGATTTCAAGTATATTTTCCTTAGCCAAACAGCATGACTCTATTTTCTAAACAAAAAGGAGGAGTACTGGCAGGATTTTAAAAAGTATTAGCACCAGTAATCTCTAGGATTCCCCTTGCAGCTCTTCCTGCAGCAAGAGAGTGGAGTTAACAAGCTTTACCAATGCCACAGAAGTTCATTCTCTCTTCTCGAAGTTGCGTTCAAGCTCTCAGTTACAAAAAGCAGAACAAAGAGGAGAAATGAGTATATTGATTACATAAAGACCACCTCTCCTGGAGCTGCACCACCGCAGCATGTGCACTGTAGCACCGTTCCTAAGTACTCCCTGAAATGAGCTGTTTCTCAGACTTGGGGCCAAGAATAATGTTTAGGCTTATAAATGTTAAAGTGTTCCAAGATGACTCTTTTTAAGAAGCCATTACATTACATTTCAGGAGAACTAGGGGGGGTTATTGTTAAAAAGGACCAGACAAGCTGTGTTAACAATCTTTGCTGCAGAACACCTGAAAACGTAGTATGCCTATTAATATGCCTGCTGCAGGGATAGACCACCTCTCTAGTCCTTGGGGACAGCACAGCTCATACTCTTCCAAAGCTAACTGTGACTGCCTGCAGGAAAAACAGGAAGCTATGGAAGGCCACAAAAGTAATGTTTTAAGTTCCCTGCTACACATGACTGCACTCCCAGGTGGTCCTATAAGAGATAGCTGGACAGAGGATTAACAGTGAGAATTCACAGTTTTATTTTGATGCATGAAAGAGAAAATGACTTTCTAGAGATCACAGATCCATCAAGCAGCTCTTTGGTGTTTACAGGAAGCTACAAAAAACTATCTTGCAAAAGATCACTAGGCATTGCTACAGGGAAAGACAAGGTATAGCATCTGTTATAGCGCAGCACATTTGGACTTAGCAGTTGCATATCCAAAGCTGCTGCTTTATTATCTTTCCTACATAACTGTGCTGGTCATAAACCCAGAAAAGTTATAGATAAAACCACTAAGTTTCTGCCCTCTTACGTGCAGCGTAAGTATCTTTATCACAGCACAAAGGAGATTAACTATTTGCATAGAGTTCACAGCCTTGCCTTCAGCCACTGCTAAAGGAGCACACGTTCTCATGAGCTTGTGAAACTCATTAGGGAACAAGGGCTCTCCAGCTTGGAGGGACTGAGGATGCTTCTGTACAAGGCAGGAACTTGTATTGCAGCTGCAGGTGGAGGATGATCCAGTAAGGATTCCCCTGTATAACCACCACCAACACCCCCTTTCACAAGGATATGTGCTGATTTTGTGGCCTGTCCTGGCTGCTGGAAGGTTGTAAGAACAACCTCCCTCCCATAGCTGTGGGATAGCTGGTTCTGTGTGCCTCTTTCCTATATCAGTGCAGAAAGCTCTACAGGATCAGTTGGTTGCCACCATTAGTTTTCATGTCCTGGGATACAAAGGGGCATTGCAACTGCAGTGGCTCTAATGGAACCCAGACAAGAGTGCAACTTGGCACTCTAAATCCATACCCTCATACAGAGACGCAGCCAGCTGCGTCCTGTTAGTGTCTGAAAAGGATGGATGCTTTGTTATAAATTTACTGTAGTATGAGGTTAGGAAATTGTAATGATTTTATCTAAAGATTATGAGTCATGCTAAAAAGGTCAAAGTGTTAATGACAACAAAAACAACAACACACAAGTCATTTCCCAAAGGCAGACTAACATTTTTTCCCTTTAGAGATAGGACACTGAGGTATGAAAAAGTTAGGCAACTTGCCTGGAGTCACAAGATGAGTCATCGATTGAAAAAGGACAAGTGCAAGCTAAACCTGATAAAAATCTACAGCATACTGATGCAGCTCCTCCATGAATATGAAGAGACTCTGTATGCAGCCATCAGAATATTACACTAATAGTCTGTTGCTTTCCACAGCTGTTAATTTTGGGGTAACCTGTAATGCAAAAGCATGTGACTACCTCAACTACCATTAGCCACGCATTTCTGTTTAATTTGTTGTTTATGAAATATCTCTATTCTGGGAGTTATTACCTTCTTACAAGTATACTTGTTTCTCCTTTCCTCTCCTTCCAAATGGAAAAGATTCTAGTACTGAAGGTCAGTGATACCCTTCTGGACTGTTACACTCACTAAGCCCAGTGTAAGATCAAGTCACTTCCAAGAAATTCTAATTATTCAGGCACAATGCCCTTCTCCATAGAGAGTAAAGACTAGCCCAAAATACCTGCTTCTCTCTTTGTCCCTCAGGATACCAGAATGCAGCAACTTCCACACTACTGTGCAAAGAGAATGGCCAGTACCTCACCAAGAGCTCATTAAGCTGCATCCATAACAATAACTGACTTCAGTAATGAAATTACAAAGCAGTCACAGTGTGTGTTTTGAAAATATCAATCCTGATTCAAGTCCAGCTACAAGTAAGCATGAAGCAAAACAAAGATTTAAAAAATGATAGGACAGAAAAGTTACAGCCTATAAAAATAAATTCTATCTAAATGAATTAATTAACACCTTTGAGAAAGGCACTCGATTCACACAGAAAAGCAATCACGGCAATTCACAGCTAGGTCACAGCAAGCACTAGGTCTTTATTGCTTTTTGTCTTTTTAGACAGCCTCGAAAATGTAAACTGCCTAGAGCTATTTGCAGGGTGATGGACAACGGACATCTGACTTCTCATCACAATAACCTCCATCTATTTTGCTCCCCACCAGCCTTCTCTGCAGCCTTAAATCAGGAGTATAAACTGACTAAAGCAAAAGCTTGCTGGTGATTTTGAAGCCCACAGCATATGACTGACATTTACACGCACACAAGTCATAAAAGTGACCATATGTGATTAACTTAAAGTATGATGCATTCCATAAGGTGACTTCTTTTGTTCTTCAACATTAGTCAAATTGTAATAAAAACAATGGCACATATTTTGTTCTAGAACTAAAGTTCAGTTGGTAGGAAATAGCCCATAAAAACAGCTACAAAAAATCTTTGCTGAGAAGTACGGTGAGACTGCCAGGTTTTGTTTGAGAACTGTCAATTGCATAAGTTAGCTAAAAGAGAATTTGAAAGGTTCTCCTGCATAAAGAATAAGAAATTATCAGCAAGGTTCCAGAGGGCCCTGCTTTTTTTTCTTCATTGCAAATGGTGAGACATCTAATAAGCAACCACAGCACTCAAAGGTAATTTCAGACTCACAGCTGTGGGCCCAGTTATGGAAGAAAAACTGCGTCTCATAAGAACAAAATTGCAGGGTCAGAACTTCTTCTATCAGTTCCAAAACCCCGGAATGCAAACGGCAGAACGTGTCGGGTAGCTCTGTTCCTCATCAAATGTCCTACATGAAACCCTTCTATGAGTTTGGAGATCGCCTCTGGGTAGTCTCTTCTCACTGTTCTCTTTTCCCTTTATGTGCTCTACTGTAGCATCTCTGCACTAGTGTCTCAAACTGATAAGCAACCTACAAGCCCTTGGGAGATTCAAAGAGTCAAAGAGTGAGTGAAACGAAAGACTTGCTCTTTTTAAAAGTTTTCACTTAAGCCACAGCAAAGAGTGGAAAGTTCCCAGCCTAAATCGCATTTAATACATGGTTTACCCAGTCTTATTACAGGGAAGCATGTAGGAAAAAGCAAATGAAAATAACTGTCCCTATCAACTACCATTTGTTAATGAACTACCTAACCTCTTTTTTTAAAAAGCATATTGTAGTGATGACTGAAGTTTTCTGTGTGTTTTGGAAAAACAGAGGTGAGCTGAAAAATCATACTACTATAGTATTTTTTTGTCAAAATCAAATAAGTGGTATTTCAAAAACCATCTGGGATAGATAAGCTGATTTTCTCCTGGAATAAAGTGATTTTCAACTTACAGTTTCAACTACTTGGTTAATACTTATGTCATCTTATTCACCACTGGAGGGAAAAAGGAACCCCAGGTGGTTCAGGACTTACCAGCTTGTAGCCAAATTTGTTCAAGAGTTGTCCACAGTTGCATAGGTCCCTGCTTCATTGTGCTGCTCTGCATAGTTATTTCAGACATGGCCTGTTCCAGTCTCGATGCAGCAAGGGAAGAGGCTCGTTGTGACCCTACGGACCAACAAAACAAGAACAAAAAGGATATTTCTTTGACTCAATAAGGCAGCAGGTCCGATCCTTCACACAATATAATAAGAGCTCTACTGAATTCTGGCATGACCAACTGGAGAACTATGTTTTATAAAAGGTTAATTTACTGAAAAAACCCTGCTAAATTACCCAAGGGCTGCAGCTCAAATAAGCAAATTAAGAGACAGACAGTAATTTTATAAAGGTCTGCTTAGCATTCATTAAGGAAGCAACCATATTTTGCTCATTTGGGAAGCAGAAGTCTACCATCAAATATTTCCCACAAATACCTTTTAACAATCCATTTTATAATCACAGACACCATACAATTCCAAAATGTGCCCCACTAATGTAAAAACTTAGTACAGCATTAGAAGGTAGTTTAGCTCCATTCACACAGCACACACGTTTCAAGGGACATCAATATTGTTCTACTGATTTAGAGGCAATGTGGTTTTTCATTTAACCTTAGGGGGCAGAGAGTTCAGAGCTTTGACTACATTAACCTTTAGTATGCACTGTAACATTTACGCAAGAATAAAGTATTTGGCGCCCACATCTCTGGGACAAAACATCACATCAAAAGCTACTCCCAGAAGGAGTGCATGGGCGGAGACCATGTTCTCCAGTACAGCAAGCGGGATTATACTGGTAAACTCATCTCTTACAGGGGTACCAAGAGGATGATAGCAAAATAAGAAGCTACAAAATTAGATTTCAGGGTTGACTTTGTAAAGCTTTGAGAAATAAATATTTTAATATACATAGACTTAATGTGACTTAAGGTTGATAAGCTCTTCTCTGGAGAGCTGCTGTGACTGAAACACTTGTGCTAATTAGCATTCCTCTTGAATCAATCCTTACACGTTGACCTCACAGACCACAAGATCACGGAGTTCAAATCCCGCTTTCACTCACTGCAGCCACCCTGAGGGAGCAGCAAAGCCCAGAAACAGGTAGTCGGGGAAGCTGAGATGGCTCTGGGCAAGGAAAGGGAGAGAAGGGCAAAAAACCTGTCACAGGGCCTATGCATTAAATGCTCTCTCTGAGAGAGACAGCAGCTTTTCCCGCTGAAGTGTGCTGAAGAGGGGGTTGCCAAACCACATCTCCTGACCAGCCGACTGACACATCACCCCGGGCCAGGGTGCTGGCAGGCACAGCAGTGTGGCCCCCCAGCCATGGTCTCCTGGCCATCATCACTCTGGATGCTGAGCAGGGACCCAGCCTCCTGCCAGGCATGAGGGGAGGCACTTTTTCACCTCATGCTCCTGTGCCAAGACACCTTTGCATTGCGAGGCAGGACATGGCTGCAGCTTCTACCAAACCTGCAGCAAGAGTGTCATGGCTTGGGAGAGACCACAAGCCCAAAACTGCTCCAGGAAATACTTGTCCCATTATCTCACCGCTAACTATGTCATTAATTTTGAACAGGAGAACGTCAAAACAGTCCCGCAAGCAAGGGCAGGACACTCCCACAGTTCCCTTGGAAAATGCAAATGTGCTCTTCCTAGCTGCATTTCTAAAATTCCTACATATTTTCAAACACATTCCTTTACTAATGCTCCTCCTGATCTAATGTTCTGAGAGATGACAGTGCAGTAATGTAGCAATTACGACTTCAGCAGTAGGGTAAAAGCCACTCAGCTTTGCAGGGAGAATTCATTATATTTAACAGTTTATTTAACAGATCCATCTTCAGCCTGTTCCATTGCACGAGATTCCTCCCCCTGCCCTGCCCACTTAGTCTTCTCCCTCATCCCTACCCCCACCTGGGAGAAATTCCACCAAAACTCCCAAAAATTCAAGTCAGACTACAGCTGTTTGACACAGGGAAAACTACCATTTACTCCCAGCCATCCAAAAGCACAGACAGTTTCTCTGAAGTGCAGAGACAAGAAAATGGACACATGAACAAGCTAGTGATGTTATTAGGAGGAGTCTGAAATAAGGGTAGACCTCTTGCCTTCTAGATTGGCAAACATGGAAAAAATTGCATGTGCTTTGGGGATTGTGCTGTCAGCCTAACCAGATTCTTATATTAGCACTTCTGATAATGTTAGCATGCTTTGAAAGCAACTTTCAGAATCATATTTTTCTGCCAAGACTGCCCTCTTCCAGAGAGGCTTTCTAGAGCTGCGTTTCTTGCAAGTACCCATACATGATGCTGGGCTCTTTGCATGGGGTGGGCATATGGGCTGGTGTTTTATTCACATCCTCCCAGAGCTCAGGGAAATCCTCTTTTCCTTGCAAGTCAATCCAAGAAAACTATGTCACTGTAAGGCACCTTTATGCATTTTGAAGAGGTTCACACACTGCCTAAGTAGATCCACTTAGGATCGACTAAAGCATTCTTCCCTCACAAAGCAGGCTTTACAGGAATATCACAGTGAGCTAATTGCACACAAAGGAACACAAGTTAGCTGCTCCTTTTCTCCTTTTCATTAGCCTGGTAGTTGCTAAGAGGGAAATTTGACATTGAGACTGATCTTGCCCCGTGCAGTGGGCTTCTGCACAACCATAAAAATAAGAACACAAGTTACTCAGAGATTTACAGCAGAGGCTCTTTGCATTTAACAGCCTTTGGCATTCCAGTCCTTTAATCTTTACTTTCTTTTCCTTCTCTTCCAGCCTACATGAGAAAGCAAACCACACTAGGCAGAGACCATCCCATCTCTTCCCTTCCCATCCCTACCGGGCCTCAGACACAGATATGCTCCTTGTTCTAGACACATAAACACCAGATGAAAAGGCTCTGTCCATCACAGCCCATACGTCCACTTTTGCCACTGCTGTTCTTGCCCATCACTACTGGGCTGCTCCTAATTTGGTCCTCTGTCTGACCAAATAAACTCTTTGAGAGCAGGTTTTAGCCAGCCTGGCCCTTCTGGACTGAAAGGGGCTCAGCCACAGCTCTGAATCTCAGGCAAGCAATATGGTGACCCTGAAGGTGGGCTGATGGCTACTGGACCCACAAAAGAATATCCCTCTAACACACACCTTCTCCTGAGAGAGGAGGTCAGCATGTATTGCACTGGCATGACTCTGACCTCAGGGTAGTTGGGGGAGATGGAAAAACTTCAAGCAACATTAAAAAAAAAAAAAGCATCTGAATGTCTCATTCTTCCTAAAGAAATGTAGATCTTTATAGGCTAAAAAACCTCCCCACAGAACCTGTCTCACAGAATTGTAATGTCATGCCTCAAAATACATGCAAATGTTGGCATAAGAAGACATCACATCAATTTGTTATTTTAGTGCAGTCTCTTTCTCTATTTAACAGCTCCACTAGACAGAATATAAACTTCACATTTTACAATAAAGCCCTTCACACATTTGGGAAATAACTCATAAAAATAACAAAACTGATTTTGTGGTGATGAGCTCTGCATATAAGCCATACAAAATCTATCCAAATAATTTAAAAGCACTGTTCCACTGTTATAAGACCGAAAAGATCAAGTTCAATATTTTGCATCCATGAAAAAAACTGCTATCAAAATAGAAATGTACCTCAGTAGATTTACTAGGCTTATAAGAAACACAGAATTCCCTAGCCTAAATCACTTCAGGCAATAGCATTATAAGATAAGACTAAATCAGAAAAAGAATGAAACAGCAAGGCAGCTGACTGATATCAGTGAATTTAGTTAGAAACATTGCTTCAGCTAAGAGAAGATGAAGAAAATAAAGAGGAATTAATCTTTCTAGCAGCAAACCTAAAGTTCTGGCAAAAGAAATAATCTCATTGTGGTCTAATTGAGGGAGAGGCCAATGTCAAGCCCAGCCACAGTAACCCCCTGCCCCCTTCAGTGATGAGTCCAGAGATCAAAGAGTGCCTGTGCATTACAGCAATACTGCTGCATGCTCCCAGGGGATTTCACGATGGAGACCAGTGCCTGTTCCAGAATGATGCAAAAATATCAGACCTCCTCCCTCTTTCAAAACAGCCAGACACAGTCACAGCTCTGGGGAAGCACAAGGGTGAGAGAGGCTAGAGCTGTACCCTCCAATCTCACCCCCTACTGTCTTCAAAGAGGCTCCCAACCAGGACAGCAGCCTCAGCTGCCTCTTTTCTGCAGATGGAGAACAGCAGCATCCAAAGCCTGCAGAGCAGGGAGCCACAGACCCCTTTTGAAACCAGCCAGTGCCAGCCCTGCACTAAGGTGGGTGGTGTAATTTCAGTAGGAGCTCCATCCTTATGTCCATTGGGGGGGCAACCATGTTAGCATGGAAACATGGATTCTCAAAGTAGAGGAGGAATACATTTCTTGGCTAAAACCAAACTGCATTCAGTGCAAATCACTTAAGGTGCGTGAAAAGCTGCTTTAAAGCTTGTACTGTACATTAATTTGCTCTTCCTGGCAGGCAGCACCATGGCATGCAGCATTTTCTGCTGAACTACAACTGCTCTGTTGCAGGCTGGCTGCTAGAACTGCACTAAGAGAAGGCTGGAACAGATCCCCAACCCAAGTGCTTTTTGAGGAGGGCACTATATAAGAGCCCAAACATGCCTGAGCTTTGCTGTGATCCTGAAGAAGATGCTGCAGGTCTGCAGCAGAAGAGTGAGCAGGAGTCAGGTCTCTGAAGGGTGATACACCAGCACATCAAAATATTACAGGCTCTACTAGTGACATTTTGGTCTCAAAATCTCAAACCATGCTGTAAGTGGATGCTGCCCAAACCTGGCCACACTTTCTACAAACAATTACAAAGCAAAGCAAGGGATCTCCAAAAGCACATGGGATCCACACCCAGAACACCTTTTACACACCATTAAGCTCCAAGCTAGAGTTGAAGACATAGGGATAAGTCCAGGCTCAACCTGGGCTCACAGTCTAGACACCACAAACCACTCAGTGCTTTAGCAGCAGAGTGAGAACTGGATGAATAATAAAAGTACTGTAGCAAATATTATTTTTGGGGTTTTATTACTTTCATAGTAATCCCTAGTGGCTGATGGATTCTGCAAACTACCTACAGTGTTTTTCAAACTATTTTCACATATTCACTGAAAATGAGAGTTCATTTTATCACCCAGCATCAGAGATGATAGGATATATTTCACAAATCTTCAGAATTATCTTCAAGTGACAATGATCCTAAATGGTTTTGTATTACCAGGAAGTTTTCATGATATATCCACTCTCTTTTCCTGTTTATTTTTAATATGCCAAACAGCAGACACTTATTTAGTGTATCCTCTTCATCCATCTGTGTTGAATTTGGTCTGTTCTCTTCAATTTAGCCAAAGACTCTAGAACACTGCCATATAAACAATGAGAAAAAGGGTCTATATAAAATACAAAGAGTCATCTCAGCAAAGAGTAAGAAAAGAGAAATGGAATTAAAAAAATTACATAAATGTGTGTGCATAGAATCAGTAAGATAACAATATCATAAATATAAACCCTGAGGGTTTAACACCACAAACAAGAGAACAGACATGCTGAATAATATTTTGATGTTTGAATGCTCAAAACCTAACCTTGCAATGCTTTTTAACCATTAGTGGGTGTAAATGGGAATTAAGCACACATTATTTAATAAAAGTCATGTACTTAACACATATGAACTTGTCGTCCATCTCAGCCATATATGTTGAGCATGTGATTTCAATTTTATGAATTCCTGGTGTTTATGATTTCAGACACAGACAAACCCTAATTCCCCAGCCCCAAAGCATGTGACTTGGTTATGTGGGGTTTTTTTTAAATCAAGCTTTTATATTCTTCTTTTTCAATTTCTGAGTTTGAGGTTCACTTTTTTTTTTTTGCAAGAGTTTCTTCTACATTCACAAGGATAGAAATTTGCTTTCCTAAAAAAACCTTCAAGTTTAAAGTCAAGTTTCTCACATAATCATCTGATTTTGAGAATCAGGGTTTCAAAGGAAGCACCAAATATCACGAGACCTATAATAAAAATCACAAGTCGGCAGCAATCTCTGAAAGCTTCCTTTCCCCTTCTGCCAAGATTAGCTTTGATGCCTCAGTTATTTCCATCTGACTATATCTGTTACTGTGAATATGTATTTACCATATAATAAAACATCACAAGGTTTATGCAGAAATCCCAAAGCAAATCACCATTTAATAGGAATTGACACTTTCATTCAGCTTTCCAAAACCAACAATAGCAGCTGGCTTGATCAGGACATCTAAAAAGGATTAAATGGTGGGGGGAGGGGGGTAGGAGGAAAAAAAGGACTGAATTAGACAGTTCTTGTAAAAGTGTAGTGAACTCCCATCGAATACTTTTCATGCTTGACTCAGAGAGTTTTGTAATAGAAAGCAGAAACTCGTCTCTGTTTTATGCCTGGGGAAGCCAAGGTACAGGCAAACCACAGTGGCTTCTGCAGCAGAGCTGGCCATGGAGACAGATTTGGACCTCCTGACCACCAGTCCAACATGAATATGCACAGCCCCGCCACCCTTGCCAAACAAAATAAAACATTCATCTCTCACAAATGCATGTGTTTAGCACAGGAAAGCACAAATCTTGCTTCCTCACCAGAATCGGTATCATGAGCATCTGGGAGAGTGAGATGCAGTCCGTTATGCCTTTTGATCACCGGTGTTTCGGTCACACTACTGCATTTCTCAGAGCCACTGTAAAGAAACAAAACTGTGTTACCTGGCCATCTCTCAGTGAAGAACATCTCCTCAAAGCAGGCAATAGTCTAGCTGCCACTAGAACTGAAAAACCAAGGTTACCAGCTGCATGAAATCAGCTTCTTGAATGTATTAATGCCCCCCACATACACATCTGCCAATGGACAGGAAGCTCAGAGACACAGTGACCAGGAAGGGCTCCAGGGCATGTGCTGGTATATAGTTTATTTGGCTGTTGGAAGTCTTTGCAAACCACAAGGAACATGTTGGCAGCTAGAAGCCAGATCAGAGGAGGCCCACCAGGAAACCCTCTTCCAGCAAGAATCACCATCCTTTGGACTTGTCTGCAGAGTAATTGTTCACAGGTCTCCTATGCTAATCTTTTTGAAACAGACCAATTACCAGCTTCCACCTGGGTGCTAATTTCTTCATTTTTTCATTTCAAAGGGCTTATTTTCTCCCTTTCCACCTTTGTTCTGTTCAAAAAGAGGAGGAAGATAAAAGCTACCACACAGCACTGCTTTATGAAAGGGTGAATATCTGGTCTGCTCTTCTACAAGACTTCTGTCCTCATAGGAGAGGCCTTCCAAAGGGAAACTCAAAAAAAAAAAAGTCATGTGCCTTCCATATAGTCTGCCATCCCCCAGGGATCAGTGGTGATGATACCTCCTCTCATCATCTATTAAGGGACAAAATATCAGAAGGAGAAGTGACTGCCCTGGCTACTTTTTCTGGCACACTTCCAAGCCTGCAGCTCAGCCTTTGGACAATATTCCTTCCAGGAAACAAGCTGTCAGAGAGTCATGATTACTGTGGATGCCCCTGTCTTTCAGTCTGATCAGTCCTTTGGTAGGGATTGCACAGAATTCCCTTGAATTTGCATTAATCTAGCAGAAGAATTAGCTTGGGACTGCTATTTGGTGTTAAACACGATTAGTCTGTTACTACAGAAAACAATAGCAAAAGATAAACCAAATCTTGTCCTTCGCAGTTAACAATCTGGGAAGCCACTGAAAGCCACTTAGTGTCATTTATCATAGCAGAAATCATATTTATAATACCTAATTAACCTTTTACTTGGGCTTTTGGATCAAACATAATGGTTCCTGTTAATGAACCCTGAATTCTTAGGCTTTTGACTGCACCAAACTACGCCCCTGAATGGGCCTCCCTGTCTTCCATACTTGTTTCCACACTGACACCTCATTTGAGACTATCATGTGGTGACAGATAGAAGGAAAAATTAAATTCTCTGTCCTGTGTCTCAGCCTTGCCTAGCCAGGATTGACCCAAGTGTAAGTGCCCTGACTGGGAGCTGCTGGTGGAACTATAGGGGCAACTCAGTCTTATTGGTGCATTGCGTATGCAGGAACAAGGCAGCTGCACTTCCAAATATTACTGCCATGAGGTGAGCGCTGCTTCGATGCAGCAGCCATCACCACAGGATCATTGTTTAGGCACATGCTGAAGCACTGGCTTACATGCTGTACTCCTACTCCAAGGACCAGTGAGGAGATTGGAAAATCCCAGGCTGAGAACCAAGTGGAATGCATTGTGCAAAATAGCCACTCCCAACAGCTTAATCTGTTATCCTGGAGAAGGGCTGAAAATTAACTACTCCTTAACAGCTGCAGTAAAAGGCCTTTGGCCAAGAAAGCCTTTCCATGCACCATGGAAGGGATAGTAGCCAGATGATTTGCCTTCTGCATACAGCACTAGAAAGGCTGAGAGCAGGACATTTTGCCACTTTACTGCCCATGTTTTTGAAAGGTAGTTGAGACAGTGGACAAAATGGTGACAAAAATACTGAAGGGAACACTTGATTGTGAGAGATTGCAGAGGCACAAGTTTGTCAGAGAGAAGACAAAAGGAGAATTGAGCATGGAATATGAATAGCTGCCTAGGGGTAAAATATTGGGCCCTGAAAGACTCTTCAGTCTGTCAGTCACAGTGAGACTGCAAAGCCAGGAAGCTTAGGCCAGACAAATGCAACTAAAAGTAACTAAAACGCCATTTAGTGTGTAGGCAGTTATCTACTAATTAAACTAGTAAAGAGTACTGGGTGCAACAGCTCTCATCTTTCTGTAAATGCAAGCTTTTTTTTTTTCCCAAGAGGCCCTAAAGAATGCTGAGTCCAAGTCTCACTGATAAGAATTCCCCTTAAGTTCCTTTGCAAGCCCTACCCAGAATACTTTACATATTTGTTAGCTGATAGTGCTGTAATTTGCTTAATATAAGAGCCTTCCTGTGTCACTAAATCCAGTCTAGAACCACAGGTACCAAGTTCATTCTTGTTACCTTTCAATTAGTACCTCCCAATAGAAAATACTTTATGATGTATTTTTTGAGAAATTAAAAAAAAAAAAAAAAGCCCTGCTGGGAATAGAGGTGAAATACACACCGGGGTTCCTAAAAGCAAAAGCAATTTGTTTTGTTTAGGCTTCCATGGCTAAAGCTTATCGAAAGCCCCTAAAGCTATCGCATCTTGGGTTTATAAGTATAAATGCCAAAGCACAGCCTGGGATCCAAATGCAGTCCAAATGGCTGAACTATTTATTTGTCTGTTTCCCAACATACTCTCTACAGTCCCAGGCTTGCAGCCCCCCCCTTGCAAGAGTACATCTTCCTCAGTAATAATTGTTTAGCATGGACTTGATCAGCTTCACAAGGACTACTCATGTGTATGAAGATTATTCATGTGAGAGGTACGTGATTGAATCCTTAGCTAAAGAGACTAAGGCCTAAGGAAATCAATGATTCCAGTCTGTAAGAGACCATTTCTCTGCTGCTATGCAAATATCTTGATTTCTGTGTTTGGTTTGCTTCTCATTAGCTAAACCAACAAGAATTACTAATAATCCCTCAAGGACAACTTGTATATAGACATACATCATTCTGTACATATATTTCTGCTGTTTATAAGGCTTATGTAAATACATACAGAGGAACATACAGGGGAACAACACAAGCTACCTCAGCCTGCTGTCAGACTGTTGCCATCAAGCATGCTGTCCTTCTCATCAAACACCTCTATGGACATTATTGGTGAAAGATAAGTACAGTCTTGGTGTAACATTCCCAGGACAGTTGTACAGTGATACCTTGACTAGGACAATATCCAAAGGGTGTTGGAAGGAAGAAAACCCTAGTAAGTATCTTTCACACTTTCTAAACTTTACATTTTGGTGGGGTAGCAGATAAAAGGAAGGAAACCAACAGGGAAGGCAGCATTGTTTAAACGCAGATTTACTAGGACAAGGGAAGGGAGAAAGATGCTACATTCTCCACTTCCTTCCTTGCCCAGTTAGTACCAGGCTGTGCAACCAGCACATGACTACAGCATATGATAGAGTTTGGCAATGTGCCTTTCCTTGGCTTACTCACTTCGGGACTGTCACCCCCACACATTCCTGGTGCCAACTACTGCAGACTGTGAACAATAGCTGATGAATGCTCAGCACTCCTGAAGAAAAAAAAAATCTGCCCTCTATTCTGGACATCCAAATATGGATAGAGATGTTTAGACATTTGGATCAGAAACTCTTGGTTCAAACTGCTTCTTCAATATTAAAATACTGAGGTCTTGTTTTTGTTGGTTTTTTTTTCTTTTTTTAAAAAAAATAATAGCTATTAAAATCTTGCCTTTCTTTATCATAGCTAGAAATATTACTTATGTTTCAAACAGTAGTGTTTATTACTCTTTTTTCCAAAAAACCTTAAGTATCTAGAAAATTAAAGAAGATAACTGGATCCCCAATAACAAATCTGAACTTCCTACAGTGGAGAAAGCCTACCTGTGCTGTGAAACATTATATACCATCTGCCACATCTGCAACATACGTCTGCATGTGATCAGAGCCTCTTCAGGTCCTTTATGTATCCATTCCAGTTTTACTTTGGTGAAGAGTAAGCTGCAAGATGAAAAAGAATAACTCCTGTTTTATTGGCATCTCATAAATGTAGAGAATCAGTATCACTCTAGTGAGACCTTAGCAGGCGGCGTTTTTACTTCCTTTGTATGTGCAGCAACAAAAGAAAACATCAGAGCACAAAACATTTCATTTGGCTCAACTTCAGATTTCCCACAAGGAGATGAGCGGATTAACAATATTCCTCAGCTGCAGTCAAATTTGCGTCACAAAGCCGACAGGACAGTGTTAAAAGCAATGCATTGCAAAGCTAGCAAGGTGAAACATACACCGAATCTCACTTTATTTTAGACAGTATTGAAAACAGAACAAAAAGTAATTGCTATAATACATATGGCCAGGCTGTTTTCTTAGTCTGGCATCTTCTTATAGTACTGGCTTACATAATAAATTTCAGGCGAAAAACCCAGCACACTTAATATACACAGATAATTATGTAATGCCTCACAAGAAGGAAATGCTTTTTCTTAACCCCAGCTGGCAATCATTTCATGCCCCTAGGCAAGACAGCTGATAGCCTTGTACATTCTTGTTCTAGGTAGTGTAACTGCTGCTACTATTCTTATACCTAGAGACGGCATACTTGCACAGACCACTGGAATTCAGCAGAATTGGGTCACGCAGAGGTTAGAAGACAGATTTGGCAATGACACAACCTACCACTTGCTGCTAGCGTGGATTTTAACACCATCCTTGACAACACTCATTCTATTTTAATTGCCAAGATGATATGATTTATTTCTTATTTGCTAATGCAAACTTACTTCTCACCTTTAAATTTTTCTAGAAAGTCCAATATCAACGCATTTTTAATGCACTCAATCCGGCTAGCGATTAGGCCACTGAATGCACATATGTGTACACACATGCCCGCAACAACAGCAGAATGTTAAAAATCCTAAAATCAGTTTTGCAAATGTGACCTGCAGGCTCCTGAGGAATCCAAACAACTTCAGAAAGAGACAACAGCAACTGCATATAGGATGTTAGAGAAGACTTTGTAGTTGAGTAAGAGATCCTTCACTTGGAATAATTAGAAATCTGCAGCCAAGACACTGTGGTGTATTATCTACAGTAACGTGCTAAAACCGCAGCCCCATTTGGCACTAATAAACATCAGCCTGGGGATTTGGGTTTTAGTGCATTTTTGGGGTGGGAGGGCGGGGGGACTGCTATACAGGGATGTCTGTAAGCGAACTGGGCTCATAAGAACAATGCTTGTTCCAATGCAACAGAATACAGAATCAGTCAGTTCAGTGCAAGAAATATATATCACAGTAGAAAGATGGGAGGCTATGCCCTGGAGTGTACTGGTATTATAAAAGATAGCTTCATGAACGTGAAGTTCCTGAGCAACAATGCAGTTTTCTGTCAAGAACCCCCAGCATTCATATATGGAAGCACAATCAAGTAGGAGCTGGAAGATGTGGTGATTACTGATCACAGCATCAGCAAGACACAACAATCCTGTTTCTAGTTCTTGCTTTTTAACTCCAGAAGATGACTGAAAATGGGGTGAGGTTAAGAAAAAGGTTATGCGAGTGATCTGAGGGCTAGAAAAACATATTTCATCACAGGCTTAAGAAGATCAGTTTATTCGGTTTAACCAAGAAGCAGCAAAGAAATTATTTTGCCTCAGCCTACAAACACCTACATGGAGAAGCATCTCATTGTGAGTCCTGGATCTAAAAGAAAAGCTACCAGAAAATCTAAGAATTCACTGGAAGCTGAAACTAGTCAAATGGAAATGAATAAGTAAATGCATTCGCATAACTATTAAGGAAAATAATCTTTGCAGCAACTACATGTGTGCACAGTAATTTCTGTAGTCATTAAAGCCTTTTCAGCAAGACAGGATAACATCTGGAAAGCAATGGCACTGTACAAACAGAAGCTGTGGGTTTGATGCATAGGCTTGTGAGTAAGTTTCTTTGGGCTGCTCTGTGCAGAGGGGTAAGACTGCATTATCACCTTCCTTCTGGAAATTATGCTATTAAAGATATTCTTCTAGTCCTAGAAACAAGCACATAAAAAAATCTAGGCTATTTTAATCATAGAGAATAATTTTTTAAACCACTACAAACTTGCAAAATGAAAGACCTTCTGAAACACTGTACAACCCTCCTTCCAGCAGAAGAATGGTGGTTAAGGAGATCTCGGCCCAGAGACCAGTCGTATTACATTCCTGAATAACACCATGCTTTTGAACACAGTAACACACTACTCAATATTCATTACATAGAAGAATCTATTAACAGTCAAACTCCTGTACTAGAGGGTTATATTAAGGATTCTTTCTCCCTTTCACATTAGTAGGGACATAGATGGCTTGTTATCAGCAAGCAATTACAATCACCACATAGTATATTTAAACATTGCAGTTAAACATTAAAAAGATGAACCAAGTACTTCATCACTCTACTGTTTACTGCTTACAGTGAATATATGTCAACTACTTTAGATGAAGGTGCAATCTTCTATCTCAGTAGAGAGAACAATTAGTGAAACAGGAAAAAAAAAGCAACTCTCACAAAAACATAATGAAGCCTCAGCACAATACTACCACCAGTCATAATGCATGGGCACACTACAAGATCTTGGAGATACCATGAGCTGTTAGCTGTTGTGGTAATTCACCTTAGGAATAGCATTATCCATGTTACTGTGTAGCAATATAATGAATCAAACCAAAAGGCAAATGGGAAGAATGCAAGTGGCAAAAGGAATCAAACCATACCAACGGCAGCAGCAAACAGTGCAATTAAACATGACAACTAAAAGGTGGAAATACAATGAGGATATTAGGCTGCATGTGCTATATGCTGTCATTCTTTATCAGTTACTAATAAGCTTTATAACAGTGAAACCAGACAAACAAATACATAGAGAAAACACTGAAATAGTATCACTTATCTTAAGCTTGTAATTTTATTACTGACACAGCAGTCTTGCTACACATAAATCTAATGATATTGTGTCCTATCAGTGTCTGTGCACAATTTCATGGACATAAATAAAAATTATTTATGCACAGATCTCATTATATTTTCTTAATACCATTGTACATTTGTATGATGCTTGTAGTATTAAGCAGCATAGACTCTTAAAAAGATTCAACATATAAAAATAGCCCCAAGATTATCAATATAGTTATTGATAATTCTGTTAATCTCTGAATATGAAAACAAATTTGGGATAAAGCAAGCATATAAATTGCTACTACATAAGCACAGGAAAACAGAGCAAAAGATCCACGAATCAATCTTGTAACATGTGCAATTTCAGGGACAGTAACAATGGAAAATAACTAGTACTTATTCTTGATAACAGACTCTAAGCTCCTTATCAGAAGAGAGTTTTTTTTATAGGGTATGTGGACAGTATGCAAAGGCTTTTATTCCCTGATGTAATGTCAAGCTACTGCCACAAGCAAACACACACATCTATCACAGTAACATTAACTCTGGCAAATTAAAATCTGTAAAAATTTGCTGATATCTGAAGCTCTGAAAATGCAAAATTAGGTTTCCCAAGTATCAAAATTTCAATAGTATAAATAACAATATGACTACAATATGACACGAGACCAGAATACTGGAAGGCTACTTCGGTTGATTTCAGAAGGCATTCAACATCTGTCTTCATAAAGGCTGATTTCAGCCACCTACCTACCTAGCACTTCCAAGAGTCTTCTAATCCTACATAGCTCAGTGCTGAGCCTTTAAGTTCTTTAATATTTCCCACGAAGAAAAGAGGCAGTTCCTTCCTATCACTGACAATCTAATTACTGAGGTTTAATAGCTAATACTTATTATCAGAAGATTTCGCATGTGCATATGGTATACTATAAATGCTTATGAGCACATCTGTGGAAGTCGTAAGTTGCTATGTATAGCAATAACTAATTGACAACTTTATGGATGCTCTAGGACTCTATTAAGATTTATTAATCAGTTAATTATTGTGACTTTTAAAAGCTGCTTTCAAATGGAGTTTTTAGTCTCAAATGTAGCCCTTGAACTACACATTTACACAGCATCACAATGGGATCTCTGTGTGTTATCATCTGACAAGCAATAAATAATGCCAGTACTATAACAAACAATAACACCTTCCACTCATTTCAAGGTTGAGAGATTAAATTAGGACTAATGAGTATTATGTAGTCATTTATCTATATATTTTGCCATTCACTGTCTGCTTATAACCCCTCCAGTTCTTCAGAGCTTGTGAGCAGCTGCTCAAAGATCTACATGTCTTCAAGCTTTACCAGATCAGTGGTGTCATTCCCCAAAGTCTTTCATTATTTACACAGATTTGTCTACCTACACACTCAGCTGCTGGGTTATTTTGGATTCCTAATACAAAGGAAAGAAAACAAACCACCAAAACCTGTAGCAGTATATCTCAATTCATGGAGACAACTGTGTGCATTAGCATGAAGATACTGACCTTCGGCAACTAATACGTGTACTTTGTTTCATTCTTTTTTAAATGACAGGATGCATGTGGCTGTTTGTACAGACATTTGCCCGGAGAGAGAAACCAGAATGCTTGTGACTGCTCCGAGAACAGCAAATACACTTTATCCAGTGACTGATGGGGTGTGGAGCAGCGTGCAACTGCCACTGGACAACAGCAACCAGCTCACCCTACTACCTCTCTGAACCCCAGATAAATATTCCACACCAGCTCCAATAAAAAGCAGGGGACTGCCACAACCCAGATGGGTAGATGGCCCAAGTCTGCCCCCTGAGGAACTGCAAGGCATGGATTCAAACCCCCAACACTTCAATCACTGAACTCTTGAATTGGTTTCTTCTCCTTTAAGGTAATGGATGCAGAAGGAGGATACAGGTGGATACAGGACATAAACTGATCTAACAGAACTGGAAAGAGAAGGTAGCAGACAAGAAGAATGATCAAAGTTTTGGAATGCTTTTGATATATGGAGACAGTAAACAGACTTCTCAGCCTGAAAA